TCATACTGCTGCTGTGCTATGTAAGGACCTTGTGGCAGGAGCCCCACAGTGTGCGTAGCACTGGCTGAAACGGGGTGCTACTTGGATACCAAGGCACTGATGCCCCTGAGTTTGCTGTGCGGTGGATGGAGGACACCTCCCTCCCTCTTCCCTGGAGACTCCTCCCCCCCACCTGAAGTCAGCAGGAGAAACCCCACACACTGTCAGAGTGAAGGGCAGCCCTGGCTGGTGCTGATGACACCTCCCCGGGCACAGACAGACCCAGAGCTGCGTCCGCCACTCGCTGAAACTCAGGGGTCCCAATAGCAGCAGACGGGGTCACCTGGACTGCTGCCCTGCCAGGCTGTTCCTCCTGGAGAGAAGGGCACAGTGGACAGGAGTCCTTCACACCAGCCCACAGCTCACACCGTCTTCCGCCTCCCGAGTGCCAGGGCCGTGTCCGATTTCAGCTGCAGTTGCACCCCAGACCCAAATTGCTCTGCTTTTTAGAACCGTCCTGGAAGACCGGAACAGTGCCCCCTACACCCACAGAGAGGCCCTCCTGGGTGATGGCGAGGAGAGGGGGCACTTTCCTCTCCTGCAGTTGCCTAGAGCCACCTGGACTCATTGGAAGAGCTCTAGTGATGTTGAACCCCAAAAGTGGGGGTGTCAGACATTTGGACCTTTGGGCCTGGAAATCTTCAGGACCTTATTCAGCTCTGTGTTCTCTCCTGCCTTCCACCCATCCACCACCCCAAGGGATGGAATGAGCAGCGACGCCCAGGCCCATTCCTCCTGGAGTGAGGAGTCCTGCCCTGCCTTCTGGAGGACTCCTAATGGAGACCAGGAGCAGTCTCCTGGGCCTCCTGGATCTTCATCGCCAGAAAGGGGAGTGATGAGCAGCAGCTAAGACAGGTTCCTTCCCCCAAATCTTTACCAGCTTGCACTTCTCACAGTTCACTTATTTGTTTATTGTTTGTTTGTTGAGACAGGGTCTCTGTGCAGTTTAATCGGACCGTGAACTCACTGTGTTCCCCAGGCTGGCTCAAACTCACAGTGATTCTCCTGCCTCAGCCCCCCAAGGGCTGGGGTTCCAGGTGTGCACCCCATGCATCATCCTAGGAAATGGGCCCAAGACAGAGTAAAAACGCTGCGTGTCCTAACAAGCAAGTCAGCTGGGAAAGGCAGAGAAGCGAGTGCAGAATGAGGGAGCCCTTGCAGTGCAGCAGGCAGAGCCCTGTGACCACATGGCTGCCGTAGTGCAGCCTGCGGTCCTGCTGGGTAACTTGAGAAGCTCCGCTGACCCGGTACCCCACCAGTCTGAGAGAGCAGCACACAGGCACCCAAGGCAGAGGCAGACACACGGCAGGCATGGCGGGGTTGTCCAAGGACAAAGTCCCCGGCCTGTGTCTGGCAGGAGCTCGGCCACAGTTTAACAGCGAGTTCGCTTGTGACAGTGGAGAACGGAGAGGCTGTCGGAGGGCTGCAGGGTAGCTCAGTGGTTAGAGAGCTGGCTTAGCACGTCAGAGGCCCCGGGTTCCATTCCCAGCACTGCATGAGCGTTCCTGCATGCATACACACACACACACACACACACACGCATGCATGCACACGCTTGTGCACATACATGCATAAAAGGAGTGGCAGGCCCTAGGTTGGAGTGCAGTGATATGGAAGAAGACCAGGGAACTCATTTGTGTTTCCTGTGTTTCAGTTTTTCTTCTAATGAGACTATGCATGTCACAGCCTTTTTCAAAAGTTAAAATTATATATATGTATATATATATATACATACATACACTTGGTTCTCATGCTGCAAAATACATTTACTATGAACCAAGTGTTTATGGAAGAAACTGAGAGTTAGAACTGTGTGCTTACCTGACCTGTCAGGAGTGTGATTTAGCTCTCACTTTATGGAGCTAGGAGGACAAAAATAAGATAATCCTATAGGATGGCATGGTGTGAGAGCTACTACATCTACACAGCACAGTGTGCCCTTTACACTGGGGCTTTGATGGTGTAATCCGTTCTGGGAAGGTGTCCTGCAGCTTTCCTGGGACTTGTGGGTACATGCCCAAAGAACACTTGGGCAGTAAATGCATGGTGTTCATGACAGGACGATCTTGGAAACAACTCAGATGTAATTACAGAGGACGACAGCGTAAACTACGGTAAGTCTACGGGGTACAGTACCACATGCCATGCAAAGAATGAGGAAGTGCCCGCTTACCGATGTAGAAAGGTACCAGGGCATATTGTGAAGTGGGAAAAAATAATATGCACAGCAATAAAGCGAAGGAAGGTACCCATCCGTCCTGCACGTAGCACTGTGCGCACCGGAAATGAGTGATCAGCTTTGTTCGTGAGGTAGATGGGAATGTGAGCAAGAAGTGACTTTCTGATGGTTCCAAACATCCTTTTGTTTTTTTGAGACAGGTTCTCAGTGTGTAGTTTAGGCTGACCTCAAACTCAGGCCCTTCCTCCTGCCTCAACCTCCCGAGTGCTGGGGCTTTGGGCACACACCACAATGCCCTGCCTGGAAATGGCTTTTTAAATAATGTTGAGGACATACACCTGTAATCCCAGCACTCAGGAAACTGAGGCAGTAAGAGTCCTTGACTTGAAGGCCTGCTTGGGCTACATAGTGCGTTCAAAGCTGTCCTGTCCAAAGTAGTGAGACCTCATCTCAGAAAGCAATAATAAATAGATGAGTCAACAAATGGCTGTTGATGCTTGAGTTTTATAAATACACTGTGTATTCCAAAAATTAAAATAATTTAAGATATGTGTATGGTAGGGAATACTGTGCCTTTCCCGACACTCAGTGTTTTCTTCAGAAGCATTTCGATCCGTTTCTTGTATAACCTTAGAGAGCAGGCCGCTGTATTTCTCAAGAAGCACACACATACACCAATAGGATGTGTTAAGTGCAAAGAAGGCTGTTGACTGGTTGGTTTTAAGGAACTGGCTCTTTGATTGTGGAGCTTGGCAACTGGCATTTCCAGGAGCTCCAGAGGCTGGAAGTGTTAATGTTGCAGAATCAGGTCTGAGGAAAGCTGGAGGGCAGAGCCCTTCCGCCTCGAGGAATTGGGTTTCCTTCTGAGATCTAATCCTAACCCTAACCCTAAGGATGGCTAGTACAGTAGAAATCAGCTGAGTACAACACTGATACTCTGGGTGACAGCTTCCCACATTTTGAAGGAGCACTCTGAAAGGATATATACCTTGAAAATATAGGAAATTTGCTAATTTCCTACTGCGGGAGGGGCCATAATTACTAGGAAAAAGGAAGCAGCAGCTTAGAGACACATTTGATAATAGTTAATGTTTACATTACCAAAAGGTTCCCACAAATTGAAAAATATTCCTGCCACAAATCACAGAGCCCATTCACAAAAGAAAGCTCGACTTGAGTGCAAATGAGTCAGATAAAACTAAACAGAGCAAGCTCGCTTTCCCAAAAAGATAAGCAAGGCTGTTAGGAAAACGTATAAACCACAAGCAGAATTTTCGTTTGATAAGATCAGTGACAGCTGTAAAGTCCTGTCCCTTGGCCCATTAATCTCCTTTCTGGGAACTGATCTTGAGAAAATAACTCAAAAGGCGATAAAAGCGTAGCCTGCAGAAACTCAGTGCAGTATGATTCATACAAGGAAAGGGTTCTGCCGGCTGCATCTCTGGAAAAGGTTCACTGAGCCCTCCGAGTCCCAGTGGGGCAGGGGGATGCAGGTGCACAGTGAGCGGGTGTGTGCCATGCGCCACACCATCTTGGCACTGTGACCGTGAAGGGCCCGTGGAAGCTTCGAGACCCCCAACAAGTGGCAGTGCAGAAACCTAACACAGATCCTTGGTGACACCAGCGCGGAGAGGGCCACCCCGTGTTCATTCAGCCTGGTATTGTGCCAGCGGTCTGACCTAATCCTACTTCTCCCTAAGTGAGCACCCTCGCAGCCCATCGCCATTAGAAGTTGTGACTTTCTGTGCAGGCTGACACGCTGCGCTTTACCCTGCTGGATGGTGGGAGACACAGAAGCTGGGGTCTGAGGCTGTGGCTGCCTCGCTCCAGGGATGTGGCGGGCTGGAACTCGGAGTTCCATTCTTTGCTCCGAATGAGCCACCTGTCTATTGCTGACACCTCGAAAGCAGACTTCCTGTCCTGAATACATGTAAGAGATCAGAGACCAGGAGGGATGAGATAGGGGTGATGGAGGGAAAGGAAAGGGATGTACACAGATTTAAGATGTGATGCTTCATAAACCAACTCCCATGAGAAGAACAATCATTATGTGTTGCAAATGTGCACCAGCAACAATCAAAATAGAAAACAGAGATCAGAGAAGTTGTAAACAATACATTCCTGTACCAATAAAACTAGGTTTTTCATTAATATAATAGTAGATAGTACTAGTCCCAACACTTTGTAATTATCAGAGATGTACTAGGTATGGTACTTGGGAAGCTGAGGCAGGAGGATCACTGTAAGTTCAAGACCGCCTAGGCTACATAGTGAGCTCAAGGTCAGTCTGAACTACATATAGAAAAGACACTGTCTAAAGAAAAACGAAAAATCAGAAATGTTTATTCAAAGCATTACATAACAGAACTCTGACCCTCATAAGTACCCCAGACTATGGTTTTATATTTTTTCCTGGGTGAAATTCCAGATCTGCATTTTTCCTTTATGAATACAAGGGGCCAAAAAAATGGCAGCTCAATAAGCAAGAAAAACTTAGTGTGAATATTCCATCATGCTTTCCAGTTGTATGTCCCATCTTACGACCTGTTCCTCGGGGTGAAGGACAGCTTCTACCGTGTCTCCGGGCCTGTAGATGTTTGCTTTCATCGCCCGGCTCCGTCTGTTACTTTCCAAGGTCAGGGGCCACTCTCAAAGCCAGCCTTGCCTGTGGGGAATCTCCCAGTTAGCGAAATGAATTTGCCCAACAGGAAGAAGACAGTTGTCACCCCACTGGCGCCGTACCTGTTGTGGTGCTAACCCACATTGCAAATATTTTTTGCAGGGTGGATCACTTGTATACATTCTTTGTCCAGTGGTCCCCAGATGTCTACGGGAAAGATGCCAAAGAGCAAGGCTTCGTGGTGGTAGAGAAGGAAGAGCTGAACATGATCGACAACTTCTTCAGTGAGCCGACGACGAAGAGCTGGGAGGTGAGTGCTTGGGTTCCTGAAATGAGGAGTTCAGATTCAGATGCCTGGCTGGTAAATAGACAGAGCTTAGCAGGCCACATAATCTGTCATCCCCTCTCTTCTCTGCTATCAGAGAGCACAGACAGCTCCCGAGACCAGTGGATGAGCACAAGTTACTTTGTATTACAAAACATTTTTTTTACATTTTTTAAACCACTTAAAAATATACTACAAAATTTGTTTACTTTGTGTGCTGTACAAAAATAGATGGTGAGATGTGTGGTATAGTGGCACATACCTGTAATCCCAGCACTCAGGAGGCTGAGGCAGGAGGATCACTGTGAGTTCAAGGCCAGCCTGGGCTACAGAGTGTGTTCAAGGCCAGCCTGGACTGCATAGTGAGACCCAGTCTCAAAAAGACAATAAAAAAAACCAATAACAAAGAAATGGACCACGAACTGGATTCAGCTGACAGGCTATACTTGTCCCTTCCCAGGTTCCCAGAGCCCCAAGGTCCCTTCCCAGGCAAGGCGGGCTCGCGCTGCCTGATGTGCTTGTAGGCCTGTGGGCCACAGAGGAGCACCGGAGGGAATGTCTCTCCTCCCTCCCGGCACTAAGCCCGGAACCCGGGTCCCTGTTGTCAGTTCTTTGACCCCTTCCTCTCCGGCCCCTCAGGGCTACCTCTGCCAGCTGGGACGGATGGTCAGTGAGTGCGGGCTGCCCCCTCCCAGGTCTCCTACATTCCTCAGCCCTTCTCTGCACAATGTGCCCTCCTCTATTGGCCTGCTGTATGGCATGACATCTCCTCACACTGACTCTGCGACTAGGAGGGCACACATTGCCCTGGGAAGCCCTGTCACCCCAAGTGGGGTGATGTGGTGTGCACCAGCCTGCACAGATCCTGCTCCTCAGCTGGCCGAGGTGAGGGATCATTTGAGCCCATCTGTTTAAGACCAGTCTGGACCACAAAGCAAAACCCTGTCAGAAAAACAACAAAAAGATATCAACCAGGGGAAAAGATCTATTCCAGATACCTAAGTCGTGAATTCACCTGGGTCCTCACCAGTGGTGAGAAACACTGTAGCTGTCTCTAGTCGCACCCTTCCGCCCTTAACTCCGAGCATCCTGTGTGGTCTGTAAATCCCGGTGGCCCTTTCCACCATCGTTACAAGGAAGAGAGCGTCAGACAGGCGTCCCTGGCATTCCCTCTTCCCTTCACTGCCTGCCATTGCTCTGGCCTTTGGTCAGGGGTGGAGGGTCATTCCCGTCCCTTCTGCAGTGCATCGCTTTCTTCTTTCCCTTTTACACTTCACATTCATTGCGTCCCATTTCTCAACTGCCCTTTTTCCTATCACTGTCCCCCCAGGTGACATCACCACCTCCCCAGTGTCACCATAGACTTGATTACCATCTTCACTGTCATGAATTTCCCTTGCCCTTTTCCTCTGAGTGTGGGTCTCCAGCTTTTGGGTGCCCTGAGGGCAGAGGTGGTGTGACCTTGGCCTTCCAGGCCAGGGACACAGGAGTATCCAGTGCTGTCCCCACCTCATCACTCCACCTCAAGAGTCTCTATGAACTGTGACACAAGAAGCAAAGCCAGGAAAAGCCTACCTTTGTGAAAAGTCTACCTCTGTGTCACCAGACAGGGTCCTAGGAAGTCCCTAAAGCTGAGATAAGCCTGGGCCACCCTGCCACAGGGCAGGCTTGCAGGTTCCCTGACTTCCCATCCCTCCTAAGAAAGAACTCAGAGTTAGTGAGAGACATCATAAGGGTTTACTACACAGAAATGTAAATAGTGCACTCAGAGATTAAGTATGGACCGGAAAGAAAGAGAGGAGCCTCATGTCTGGAGCTGAGAGCATTTGTGCATTTGTGGGGTCCCAGGGCATCTCCCACAGGGGCAGCCACGATGTGCATTCTGCCACCTGCCTGTGTCAGCTGCTGCCCACATTGCCATCTCCTTGAGGCTTAGTGCCAGGGAGGAGAGGGGAGGGGGCTCCTCACAGTGAAAGGGGACCCTGCAGGTGAGGTGCAAAGAGAAAAAGGGAGAAAAAATCATGCAGGGCTTGTGTCCCAAAGCTGTGCGTTTTCTTAAAAGTACAATTTTAGAATTCTGAGTTTCCATGTGTTTTTTCTACCTATCTGTATTTCTTCTACCCTTCCTCTCCCTGGCCCCAGGGGTCTGGTCTTGTGTTTATTCTTGTCTCTCCCCTGTCACCTCACCCCAAGCTGGCTGAGCTGGGTCCTCACTGCCTGGCCCTGGCAGCACCTGGTGAAGGTTGCTCTCCTCCAGGGCCAGCTGCTGCCAGCAGGCCTGGGTTCCCAGGTGCTCTGCCCACATGTGTTTTGGCTCCTGCGGGGAGGGTCTGGGCTGACCCAGGGCTGTCCCTGAGCCACCGCAGGCCGCTTACAGCCTGGCCACCATGGTAGTACAGTTCCAATGCAGGGAAGGAAGCACCTGAGCCACTAGAGGTCTGCTACAAGCTCATGTGAGTTCTCTAAAATCAATGAATGAATTTTAAGAACAATGGAGGTTAAGAGCAGAACATGTTTATTAGGGGAAAAAAGCTTCTGTCTGAGAGAGAGAGACAGAAAGGGTCTGGAGTGGACCCTGCTCTTTCTAGGGATTATTACAGAGCAAAACCACGAGTTGAGGCAGGTCCCAGGTGGGGAAAACTAGGAAATCTCAAGCTGGACCTGAGGTGGACACAACTGTGGGTGACGACAAGATTGGAAGCATAACTTCTCAGGTATAGTGGTTAAATCAGATAAACAGGGAAGTAAGTCCCAGAGCAAGCGGAGCTCTTCCTCCAAGGGTGGATCAGTGGCTCTTGCTGGCTTCCTCAAGGTGTTGATACCTGTGTAGAATATCAGTCGCTGATGTGTACCGTTAGGAAGTATGTGGGTGCATTTGTTTGATCTTTTGTCTTGAGGTCTGGCCCCCAGCAGGAGTTGTCTGCAAGGTATCTGGGCTTCTGCACTGACTGCCTGTAATATTTTTACCTAATGTAACTATCTGTGACAACAGCACCGAATCCCATAGGAGTCCCCCAATCTGCAAGGCCACTGAAATCTGGATGTCATAGAAAGACCCGTGGAAATCCACCCAGCAGGGATCTGTCTCCTGTCTGCCCCCAGTCATCTAATCTGGGAGGAGAGAAGGACTGGTCCTGCTGAACAGTCATTAAATGAATTTAAAAGTGTCAGATGGTCCATTTTGTGTTGCTTGCTGGTTTGCACAGCTGCAGGAAGTTTGACACCTTTCACACCCTCATGGTGTCTCCTGCCCTTTCAATCCCTTCCTCTGCTGCAAGCAGGCATGGAGAGGGTCTGACCAGCCTTGGAGTTCCCAGCTGAAGCCAGGGCCAGAACCTTCTAAATGGAGATTTACCAGGAGGTGCTGAAAGGAAACTGAAAGGGAGGGCCTGAAAGCCGTAGCCCAGGGGTAATTGGGAAGAAATGTCGGAGGAAAAACAACTCAAACAATGGGGTTGGATTGTACTGCTAGGAAACCACCGGTTTCAAAGGTGAAAGTGTCATTTTACAGTCGCAGCCCGACAGGAAGTCCGTTTGCTGTGAATCCTAATTTGGGTGTGTTCCTGCCAAGCTTCTGAAACCCCGCCTAGGGGAAACAGAAACTTAAGCGCGGAGGAAGTCAAAGACTACAGAATAGCCGCAGCCACTCTGCTGCAAGTGACTGAGGTGTGCAGGCGGAGGGAGCAGCGGTCCCCCCAGCCAGCGCTGCCCCCTCTGCCACCAGCATGCGTGGCCAGCGGCTGCCCATGGACATTCAGATTCTCTACTGTTCCAGGCCTGACCAGGAGCCCTTCGTCAAGGTGAGGTGGCTGGGGCAGCCAGGTGGAGCGACTCTGCTCCCGGGCTGGGAAGCGCTGGTGCAGGTCCTGGACCCTTCTCGGAGAGGCACGAAGTGGCTGTCCCTCCCCTCCAGAATCTCATGACAGCCTTGTTCGTTTGTGCCATTAGTAAAATGGGGAGTTCGCCCAAGCCCTGGTTTTTGATTGAGTGCACCAGTGATTCTTTGCAAGGACTTTCTCTGTATAGATTCTCCAGGACATGGCAAGACTTAGAAGCTGATTTCCCTGCCAGAAATGTGTCTCTGATGCTCGTGGGCGCTCTGTGCGTGTCAGCGTGCAATTGCATGTTAAGTAATAACGTCCCCTAACAACTTTCACTGGGTGTAACAGATGCTTTTGCTCTGTAACACAAAAGCCATTGTTATTGGGTCTTAGGTATTTTGGTGAATCTGTTGTCTAGAGGAACTTAATTTCAGTCACTTTTCCAGCATGTAACAAGGAAAAATGGATTTTAAGATGAGAATGACTTTGGTAGTTCATAAATGCAGCTGTAACTCAATAATAAATGTGTACAACACAATGTGTTGCAATTTAGAAGGGAAGAATACCTCTGTGCATTTCAAACTGACGGACAGTGAGCCTGCACGCTCCGCTGGTTCCTGGTCGCTGTTATCATACGTTATTTCTATCAGCTGTGGTTGCTAAGTGCACAGCCTTGAAACACCAGCAGCCTTGATTAAAAGCTATCTTCACTGTTCCAGACTCCACCTTTATAGAAGACTTACTCACTGAATAATCTCAGGTTATTTCCTTCAGTTTAGATGCAGGTAACTTGGGGAGTAATTTCGCACATCTTCAGGAGTATAAGTTACCTGTGGGCTAAAACAGTTCTTCCCCAAGGATGGAGCAGTCGCAGCAGTAGGAGCCTCGGAATTGTGTGGCTTTAGCTCATGCCTGGGCTGTGGGGTCCTTGATTCCACTCTGTTCTAGAATGGGAAAATCAGACCCCTTCTCAGCGGTCACACAGAGGACCAGCAGAAGTGACCTGAGCCGGGCTTGTTTGTATGCTCCTCTTAGATCATCACCGTCGAGGAGGCCAAGCGCAGGAAGAGCGCGTGCAGCGAGGACGAGGACGAGGAGGACGACGGGCTGCCTGTGCTGCAGCCCCACAGTGCACTCCTGGAGAACATGCATGTGGAGCAGGTGACTGCCGGGCCGGGCCGGGGCCGGGGACCAGGTTAGAGAGGAGCGGGAGGTAGCAGCCTGTCGTTCATGTGTGTCTGTGTGTGTGTGTGTGTGTGTGTGTGTGTGTGTGTGTATTAGTGTGTGTGTACACGCGCGCCTGCATGTGTGTGTGTAGAAGCCACCTCAGCCTTTTCCACCATGTGAGGCACTGAGCTGTGCTGTTGCTGATCAGCTGCCCTGCTGGTGATCCGTCTTGCGGCTCCAGGGCTGGAATGTCTGGGATGCAGGAAAATCAGTGCGGCAGAAGACGCCTTCTGGCTCTGTGAGAACCACTGCCTCTCAGAAGGGCTTTCGTTTTTCTGTAATTTTCTCTATGTGTTTAGTGCTTTGAGAAACCTTGTATAGTTCTGTGAAATGTAACACATTCACATTGACTCTTGAGAGGGAATCTCTTAAGACATGTGTCATCAGTTCAGCAACCGGAATTTCAGAGGCCTTAAGAGCTTCCTCAGTTCACAAATGAGCCATGAAATGTCCCGGGAAGCCAGAGGATGGGACCCAGTAGCCACCCCGGGCTTCATGCGGACACTGGTCAGAACTAGCACTCCCTTGCTTCTTCCAGTAATATTTTTGAGAGATGTACACTGTTGGTATTTCTGGCAGCTAAGTATGGACGAAGGTGAAAAATACAGTGATATGTAAATGGGCAAGCCCCCTCCAACTGCCAGCATAAAGCACGCTCCTTGCTCTCACCTCTGGGAAGCCGCAGTTGCCAGGAACAGCTCTGGGCCCGTGAAGATTCTTTTTACATTTCTCAAGACAGTGTAGTGCAGGCGGCCTTGAACTCGGCGATCTCCTACCTCACCCTCCCAGGCACTGGGATTAGAGGCGTAAGTCTGAGAAAAGAACAACCTTAAAAGGTGGACTGTGTTCAGTAAAAGTCAGGTTGAGGTTTGAAGTAGGAGTAAGTGTCCAGTTCTGCTTCCTCCTCTGGCTTCATCTGCACCTTCAAATGCATCCTCTCGCACTGCTGACCACCACTTCAGTCCATGGTGGCCCGTGTGTGACATCATCCCCTGAGATTATACTGGCTGATGACATCATGTCCGGGAAGACTCTGCCACACTCATGCAGCTACCAAGTTGCCCAGAGTTGCACTGCATGACACAGAATTGTGGGCTGGCGTGGGAACCCCACCCTCAGGCTCTTACCTTCTCTTTCTTGGTGCACAAGTGGCACAAATGTGAGGGAGCCCTATTTAAGTAGACTTGTGACTATGGGTTTGTGCCATGGGCGCTCGTGTTGTGCCCCAAGTTTGTGTGATCTGTACCAGAGCTGTCTGGTGACCTGTCCTCCTCCCTTGGCTCGGCAGCTGGCCCGGCGCCTCCCGGCGCGGGTGCAAGGGTACCCGTGGAGACTGGCCTATAGCACGCTAGAGCACGGCACCAGCCTGAAGACGCTCTACCGGAAGTCGGCGTCCCTGGACAGCCCCGTGCTGCTGGTCATCAAAGACATGGACAACCAGGTGAGGCTGCGCCCCAGGGCAGCAAGACATGAGAAAGGAGAGCAGAGCTGCACCCAGTGAACTCCCCTCCCCCAGAGCACACAGCTGGCGGGGTTTGCCAGTTCACTTGGTTGAAGTAGAGCCCACCACTGTGTCACCCCCTTGTGTCCAGAATCCTCTCTGAAAAAAAACTGGCACAGATTTCCAGCATTCCTCCACCAGGAAGGTGGCTTTGTTTTTTATTTGTTTTTTCCTATGCTGATCATGATTAGGAACATATCGTGGTACTCAGAGACCTCTAAAGCTGGAAAAATTGGGTAAATACAGTATGGATGTGGAAATCACTGCACAGTAAAGCAGGTGCCATTCCAGGGCTTCCTCCTGCTGGCTAAGCCGGTACCCCCAGAGCCTGCCTGCCAGGGGATGGTAGCTCAGTCGCAGAGTGCTGGCCTAACAGATACGGGGCCCAAGATTCAGCTCTCAGCACTGCGGAAAGAGCAAGGATTATTACAACATGGGACTCTTAAATTACTGAGAGATTTAATGATGTGTTGGACAAGTTGGTTGCTATGTTGTTGTTACCGAACAGGGCTAGACACAAATCCACACCCTGAGCCTAGATTAGTTGTTTACCAGTGATAGCTGTCTCGAGGAATGCCGAGAGCCATACTGAGCAGGTACCAAGGGAGCCCATGGCCCCTGGGTGCCCTGTGTGTCAAGAAGTGGGATCCCTGGCTGTGCTCCTGCTGGGTGAGGACACCTGGACACCAGCTCTGTTCTCCCTGCCCTGCTGATCAGAGAGAAGACCATGGATTGGCTGCTCTTAGGCACATGATAGGACAGAACCTGTAAATTTATCTACAAATTGGTTGTGTTCAGTTGTCCCCTAAAAATATGCAGAACGACAGCCCCGAGGAGCTCTGCAGAGTCAGCTCCCCTTGAACCCTGTAACCAGTAGAAATTAGAAAAGCAACAGTCCCGTCCAGTCTCTGGAAATTGTCCTAAGGGCATACAACAAGAGAAGAAATATTTATCCAAGAAAATCTAATAAATCTCAGGAATAACAGTGAAGGTCTTTGGCACGGAGATACAGCTTTCTCCCTGCTGTAAACATCTCCCAGCTCAGACTGCTGCGGGCTCCGCTCTGAGAACAGGGAGGGGAAAGTGGGGACCCCATGGCTACTCTGTGCAGGTCCCCAGAACCTCTTACTCCTCACCCCAAGTTCTGCGGTCTTTTCTTTTTCTCCTTAAGGGTTCCCATTTAGTGATCATCTTGGCTGGAGCTGGAATGATCTTTCAGAACAGGATCCTGTCAGATGTATTTGAGAAAGCCCTACACAGGGTGGGTTAGACCCGAAAGCTGTTGACATCGCATTTTTCTTTTGACAGATTTTTGGAGCCTATGCAACTCATCCCTTCAAGTTCAGTGACCACTATTACGGCACAGGAGAAACCTTTCTCTACACTTTCAGCCCTAATTTCAAGGTATGGTGCATGCCTCAGAGAGAGACTGCTCAGCTTCCCAGTGCCACATTGCCAGCTGGAGCCAGGGGACAGCAGCTCTGGCTCTCCGTGGCCCCATTAGGATTTCACGACTACAACAGCAAATATGGGGCCTGGGGCTTGGGGTGGCTTCTCGGGTTCAGCTCAGAGCTCAGAGTGTATAGCTCGGAGGTCTCCCCAAATTCACAGCTGGGGTTGGTCCGCTCCCATTCAGGGACGCTGGCCGAGGTTCCCTGCTGTTGCCTCTGGATTAAGGTGTCCGCCCTGCGCTGTGTTTCTACTCTAGGTCTTTAAGTGGAGTGGAGAAAACTCGTACTTTATCAACGGAGACATAAGTTCTTTAGAACTTGGTGGTGGAGGGTAAGGTTTTTGTTGTTTCTGCTGTTCTGGTGCTTTAAACTGAGACAGTCTTGTTAGTGTGTGTTTGTAAAGCACAGCGATGACATTGGCGTAGAGCTGGTAGCTGCACATACCCTCAAGCTTTTTAATTTCCTTTTTTGCACCCCTCCATGTCTGATCCCTTCCTATGTGCAAAAGACCTGTCCTCCTATTTTTTTCCTAGCATCTCTGTCTCTCATTTTGCTGTTTATGCCTTGGGTTTCCCATGTAAGAGAAACCATGCATATGTAAGCTTGTGTGTCTGTTTACTTCATTTAACATCCTGATCTTAAAATGTGTCTGCTGCAGATGACCAGTTTTTCTGTATGCCAAGCTGGCCCTCCACTGTGTATAAGTAGGACATTTCCTTTATTGGTCGGTGAACATAGGGGCCGCCTACCAGGTGTAGCCATCACAAGTTGTGTTCCTATACACACGGTGTGCATGGGTCGCTGCAATGTGATGTCCTCACCTTTCGAGAACAGAATAGAATAGACGGGGAATAGCCGAGTCCATTGGATTTAAGCTGATAATCCATGCGCGGTGGACTAACCCTGGGACTGGGACTCGGAGAGCAAGCTGTCTACCCACGCCTCAGTGAGACAGCTGCCATTAGGTTTTAGGAAAGACAGGTTATTTAAATGAAAAGGACGAAGCCACTTACCTGGGAACAGTTTAGAGTTGTGACTGACTGCTGCGTGAAGGAAAGAAGCCAGCCAGCGACCGTGGGAGGGTCCAGGGCACTGATCTTTTTCCTCTAATCTCTTCTCAGGGGGCGATTTGGTTTATGGCTGGACGCTGACCTATACCATGGACGAAGCAACTCCTGCAGCACTTTCCATAATGATATTCTTTCCAAAAAGGAAGACTTCATAGTTCAGGACCTCGAAGTATGGACATTTGAGTGAACTTCAGACTGCCTTAAACTGTCATCCAAGAAAGCCGGGCCAGCGCGTCACCCTCAGCTGCCCCCAGAAGACAGAGAAGGTGCAGCCCTGCTGCCTCATCCGACCACCATGCTTCCTTTCCGCTGTCAGCTCTGAGCATGCTCACCTCGCAGGAAGACGCCGCAGGGCATGTGTGGAGGGCAGGCGCCGGGGACCGACCTCGATGTCCAGATCGCTGCAAAGACTTCGTCCTTCCGCTTCTCGCAGACCCACATGAGGAATCAGAGTGTTTATAGATGTATGAATTGAATGCAATTTTTATTTTTGGTAACTGTGAAAAAAATAGATACTGTGGAAATATAGACATGCCTTGTGTATTTATCAGCATAATTTTCATTACCAAAATGTACAGCTATCGTTTCCATGGTTAGTCTGGTTTAGAGAACCTGAAAGGAAATAAAACTTCAAAGGAATGTATGATTTTTTTAATGTTTTATTTATATCTAGTATTTTGTCTGAAATGTGTTAGCAGGTTTTTTCTTTTTAATATGTCAAATTTTGAAATGTACACATTTTGTGCTACGTTTGGGAAACAAGTTTGTTTGTTTTGTATAGTTTTATATTGATTATTTTTTGCCCTGATTGTTTAGGGTGATAGATCGTTATATTTCTGAATTTTTAAAAGCTCATGACCAAGGTTCATTGTTGTATAGGCCAGCATTTTGTTTTAGTCATTAAAAGGGTACATTTTAAGTTGCTTATGCTGAACAAATTTCTGTAAAGCAGAAAATACCATTATGAGCTTAGACTTAGAACAAACCCTGCTGCTGAAAAGAAAATGTTTTGCTTCTTCTAAAATCATGTGCTGGTAACAAAAATTTTATTTTCATTGTGCTTTTTTGCACAGCCCACTCCCAGCTGTTTACATTATTGAGCAGGCCTCTGTTTAAAAGGGACCAAGTGTTTTAATTTCTACATTTCTAAAGTCAAAATGTACAATTGGACCAGTTTGTCTTGCTCTCTAAACTCTTGTTTGAGAAAACTTAATATAAAGAAAGGCGTTCATATCAAAATTAGGATGTTAAAACAGCTATTTTTAAAAGAGCAACCCTTTACACCATTTAAAAAATCTTAACCGATATTATTGTCAGACTTTATGAAAACCAAAGATTGTTAATGGGAAAAAATTGAGTAATAGCCAAAGCTGAGAAATGATCCATCACAAGTGATTTCCCCAGTGACCTTTGCAAGGAAAAATTAATAACAGGCAGTATTTACATGTCTTCATTAAAAAAATTAGAAAGTTCTCAGAATATTTACTTGATTCTTTTTTACCAGAGGACAGATTGCTCCCTGAGCTCCTGTTGGCCGGCAGTCACCATGCGACACTCACATCCCCTGCGAGTTCAAGCTGGGGAGCTAAGCTGGTTTCCAATCTGTGTAATGGTGGCCTCTAACTGAGTGCTCCTGTTGGGATCTTCTGAAGCCCAGCCCTCAGGCAGTTCAACCCAATCTGCTCCTTACACAGTGAGTTAGTGTGGGGGGTCAGGACTGTCTCAGGATGACCATGTTGACCATTTCTGCCACTCGCAGCCATGTGCTATTACTAAAGCAACAGTCATTTTCATAGAGTTCACTCCCCTAGGTTAGTCCATGGCACTGTTCTCCTGTCCCATCTTTAGCTGCTGTGTCCTCTGTGTAAAGCAGTATTGTCCAAACGGAAATGTGCAACCCTTCATTTATGGATACTGACTATGTAACGCAGTGCTATCCCAGTATTTTCAATAAAGGAACTTACGCATTCAGAGCACGTCTTTCCTGGTCATTCATTCATTGAGTGTCTATCGAGGCTGCCTGTCTCCAGCATGTTGTCAGTTGAGTTCCAGAGGACTGCAAGAAAGTGAGTCACACAAAAGCTTTGGCTTCCTGTTGTGTGTAACGGTCATGTTTCCACTGCTCTTCAGTCTATGAGTAGTGCAGTAGCATGATGATTAATAACGTACGCAAACAGTGCACACATTGATTTCAGAAATTTGTGGACCCTTGTGTGGCTACAAATGATTGGAAAAACGTCCCTGTTATGGATTAAGAACTAGTGGTCAACTTAACGCTAGTTGGATTACATCAGCATGGCACTGAGCAGAGATGCACCACCTGAGGAAAGCTGTCAGCATAAATAGAGAGGTGGAGAAGGAGAAAGTGGGTGTTGATGCATTGAGGCGCTGAGGCATTGTGGGTTCTCCTACGAGTTGCCGTTTGAGCCGTTGGTTCTCCTGGAGGAGCTCTGGTCCTCATATTGAGCATTGCTTCCTGCTCCGGAGGGTAAGATGTGTGCTGCTTGGTCTCCAGGATGAACTCATCACGCTGGCTTCCTGACATGTACCCGACTGTGCTTGTCGTCGGAGGAGCTCAGGGCCTCCGTGTCGCTGAGGATGGCTGTGGTGCTTTTCAGGACAGGTCTGGTCTTTGTTATGAGTGTGACTTCTTGGATCCTGCATAGAACCCTCATCCCACCAGCACAGCTCCTTCACCCTGCTGGCATGGACTTGCTGGCTTCCAGTGCTGACCTTTGGGCCTTCCCGGCACGGATCCATAAAAAAGACTGGCGTGAGTCCTCGTGGGCTCTAGACCTCCAGTTGGACTGGTGGGAAGCATTGTAGTGAGCTCTGGGTCTTCCTCTGGACTCATGTGGGACATTGCTGTGGGATTTAGGCCCTTGAGTACATATTCTTTTTTTTTTTTTTTTTTTTTTTGTCTTTTTTGTTTTTTTATCGGTACCAGGGATCGAACTCACAACTGCCTGCTTGCAAGGCAGGCACTTATGCCGCTGAGCTAAATCCCCAGCCCCTTGAGTACATATTCTATGTCTTTGGTATTGTGGATAGATTTCCTGCATTTTCTTGTGTTAACTCCCAGTGACCATTATAAAAACAATATTACAAGCTCCATGTCCTGATTCTAATTGTTCTCTGCACAGCCCTGACCACAACAGTCCCTGACAGACTTGCTTCCCTCAGCATGACCACAGGTCTTCAGTGCGGGAAAAGCACCGCCTGCAAAGCCCAGTCCAGCAAGACTGGTCTGCGAGACGGGACAGTTGTGGAAGCCCTGCCGCCCAGGGAACTCCCCCTTTTTCCCCCTAACCTCTTTCTGGGTCTCATTTCACAGAAACTGCTCCTCTGTGGTTCCCAGACAGCTCTAGACCTGTCTGCCACTGTCCCTTCTGCTCCTCATCCTTTGATCTCGCCTGCACTTGGCCACCTCTGAACACGTGACTCACTGTGCTTCCTGATCCCTAAGCAGTGCCTCCCACTATCTGATACAGTTTCTGCCACTCAGACCCTAAGAGGAAGACCCCCCTCAAGCAGTCATTGTTGCTTTTAATTCCTGTTTTATGGGTCCACATCAGAGGCCTCAGGCAGAAAGAAACAGCACTGTTTTTTCAGACTGTTGAATGTGATTAGGGTGAGGGACGCCCTGAACCACTGAGCCGTACACCTGCCCTCAGTCTGATTTCCCGACGCCCATTTCTTCTGAAGTTCAGAGACATGTGAAACAGACTAAGCAAAGAATTGCTTTCCTTTTGAGGAAGATTCTGAAAATCTCTTAAAGCTTAGATGTCTGAACCATCTTTACCAGTTGAATCAAATGCAAGAAATGGAGAAAGCTAAGGAGGTCAGAAGTCAAGGGAAGTTGGGGCTAGGGATTTAGCTCAGTGGCATAAGCACCTGGTTTGCAAGCGTGTGGTCATGAGTTCAATCCCTGGTACTGATAAAAAAAAAAAAAAAGTCAAGTGAAGTTCCAGAAAATTCCAGGAGAGCCCTGCTCACTCTTGTGCAAGTATCACAAGTGTCTCTGACTGCTCCTTCTGTCCAATCGGGACACATCCTTTTTTCCACTGTAGGGAGGCGTAAAGCCCCATTTGTCACATTCTCTGCACCTACCTCCTTTCCTGCACGTTTTTATCCATGGTGATCCCTGACAGGAAGTGTCTTTGCTAAGAAAACTAACTTTCCAATGCACCCCAAACTCAGCCTTATTCTCTTACCCTTCAAAATAAAACTTAGACTTCCCTGATCTGGTCAATCAAGACTTCAAAATGGTGTTTTGACATCACAATGGTGTTTCTCAGTGGAATTTCTTTGGTGATCTTCAGTTTTACATTAGCACTGCCCCACAGAATGTTCTTCACTGGTGGAGATGTTTGTGAATGTTGGTGGCTCTCTGTGACGGCACTAGGCACAGTATTTAGGTTGAGCCATTGCAGTACTTCTTGGATGACTGAAGCCTGGGTTTGCTACTTTATTTCATTTTCATTTATTTTGATTTACATAACAGGTGGCCAGTGGCCCCCGCTATAGAAGAGCACAGCTCTCCATCAAGATGTCCGTGCCAAGTCTTCATCAGATTACGAGTCCCTAACCAGAGGAGCACTTCAATTGTTTCTCTTTTTTTTTTTTTTTTTGTATCGGAAATCAACCTCAGGACCTTACGCTTGCCAGGCAGGCACTGTGCCACTGAGCTGCTCCCCAGCAAGCACGTCAGTCCTAACAACTTCCATCTCTGCCCTTCCAGATCTTGACACATAATGGCGCCACCTAAGGTTTCCACGTGTTTTCCCCTTTTTACGTTGTCAGTTTGTAAAACAACTAGAAAGCAGGGTTCCCTGCTGACCCCCATCATTAAATGAAGGGAATGAACTTTTCCCAGTGCCTAGGACAGAGATGGCGAACCCCTCAGGGCTGTCAGGGATAACAAACAGTGTGCAGCAGCACACGTGCCATAGGTTCACCACCACTGGCCTAGGCCTTGCCTCAGTTTCCCTGCTCTGTTCTGTCCTGGACATTCCACCGCTCAAGGCAGCTCTGCAGGGGCGCTGTGGTTCCCTGACAGGAACCCACCCACAATGTATGTGGAGCACAGGAAAGAGAAACAACTTGTCCCTTGCACAGAATTTTGCTTCCTGTCTCTGGATAGGAAACAAAATAAAAGCCCCAAGAATCCCTCACGCAGTGCTGTCCAAGGACCAGCCCGAGGTGACGTGAAGCCTGAAGAGCCTGTCTGCACCTGGGGAGGGTGTGCAGTGCCAGCCTGTGAGCACGCAGGGCAGTCGGGAGCCCCCGGGAGACCACCAGATAAGATCAGTCGTGCCCTACTAATCCATGAAGCGCTCACCAATGGTCCAACCTCTCCACTTCTGGGCTCACAAAAGGTAGCCCCGATATAGCTCACCATTGTCCCGAAAACACTAAATCCTTCTTTCTTCCCTTCTTTTTCCTTCCCTTCCTCGCTTCCTCCTTTCTTGCCTTCTTTCTCGGCTTTGTTCCCATTTGTGTGCCTAGAACTTAGTATCTTTTGTGCTATTGTAGGAACGTTTTTATCAGTGAACCAAAGCGCATATGCGCGTTCTATCCTAGCATTTAACTATCAGCAGGGTGTGGTGGTGCACAGCCCCTGGGAGGCTAAGGCAGGAAAACTGCTGCAACTTGAAGCCATCCTGGACTATACAGTGAGTTCAAGGCCAGCCTGCACTCCAAACAAAAACCCCAAGTAACTGAATGGTTCCTCCTCAGAAGTCATATAGACCACAACTGTTACTTGATCACCTTCACTGATACTGCTTATTTCATCTTTATTTTTGCCCAAATTTCATTTCAATTCATGAATTATGAATGAGGTTGAACCTGGTTCTATGTTTATTGCTTATTTCTATGTCTTCTTGGTTTTTTATCCATTTCCTTTGGCGATTTTTCTGTTGTTCATCATCTTACTGATTTTTAAGTTAGCCCTCTGTCATGTGTTGTAAAGATTTTGCTTAATGTGTGTAGTTAAGATGCGCTGCTTCACACATGAGGGTTTGTTACTGTTACTATTTATCAATCACTTCCAACTTCTGGCTCATAATTGTTTGGCTCACAGTAAAACATCTTTAGGAAAGGTCACAAGGCCAAAAGAGGCCAGGTTGGCAGAAGATCTCGGCCTGCTCTGCATGCCCAGTCCACTGCCGCGGCTGATGATGGAGCAGGGGAGGAAGAGGAGGACGAGATGGATGGTGACAGTTATTTAGCTTGACTGCCTCTTTTTAATACTCTATCTTATTTGATATTTCAACATGAATATAGTAAACCTCTGCAGAGGAGGAGCTGTTTCTTCTGGAGGTTGGGTAACTTGCCTGATGTCAAACAGCCCGTGAAGGTTACAGCCAGGAGGTCTTCAGACAGAACCAGCCTGGAGTGACCTCTCAGCCACCACAGGGCCCTAGCACTGCCAGCTCTTCACAGTATCCCACCTGCTGGGGCCCATGCTCTGCTTCGCCACTCAAGCACCAGCCTCCTCAGTCCTCTCTTTAGGAATGGATGCCCTTCTCAGCTACCCGTGTCTCACTCATACTCCTAGCCCAAGCCCTAGTGTGCAACATGGCACCCAGGAAGCACTGGATAAACAGGCCAGAAGTACTTAACGGAAGGAAGGAAGTAAGCCCCAAAGGTGTTAAGGGATCTGCTCAGCATCCCCAGCCAAGTGGGCGAGCTAGGACTAACACACGTATTTTGGATTCCCAGCCCTCTTCCCTTTCCCTCACACAGTGCTGAATTGTAAACTTCCAGGTGTCATCCTTGAAATGCAGTAAAGAGTGGTCCTGGAGCTCCTGGGTTCTTCCTTTTAGGTAACAAAAGTGTGGGGAGAGATTCTGAGGGGACAAGTCAGTCCCCCTGGAGAAGACTTCCTGCATGCTCAGGTCTCCTGGCAGCTGATGGCATCCTGAAAACTTTGGACCTCAGGTGTTAGAGCATTGGCAATGAATCCCTT